GGGAGATAACAAGTGGGTGAGTGCAACATGTACTGGAGTGTGTTGTCATCAGCTGGGCGTCTGGCGTAAGAGTCTCGACCCGTTACCAGCTGGGAACAGTGGGTCGGGCTCCAGCTCATGGCTTCCCACCACTTCCCCTGATGGATTACCTGGAGAGCCTCCAAGGAGTTCTTCTCCCCCAGGCGTAAGACATTCTTAACAACCTCTTGGATTCCTGCAGTTGTAATTTGGTAAATGACGCGCATGTTAATTGCACTGATCCCTGGTGGTCCCGCGGCAGTGAACATGACAGTTACACTGATCCCTGGTGGTCCCGCGGCAGTGAACATGACAGTTACACTGATCCCTGGTGGTCCCGCGGCAGTGAACATGACAGTTACACTGATCCCTGGTGGTCCCGCAGCAGTGAACATGACAGCTACACTGATCCCTGGTGGTCCCGCAGCAGTGAACATGACAGCTACACTGATCCCTGGTGGTCCCGCGGCAGTGAACATGACAGTTACACTGATCCCTGGTGTTCCCGCGGCAGTGAACATGACAGTTACACTGATCCCTGGTGTTCCCGCAGCAGTGAACATGACAGTTACACTGATCCCTGGTGTTCCCGCGGCAGTGAACATGACAGTTACACTGATCCCTGGTGTTCTCATGTCAGAGAACATGAGGGCACGAGAACCATGAAGGTAACAATGAACACATCAACCACAATATGTCATGCTGGTAAAGACGCAGCTCTGGGGCCCCAGTTCCCCCTGGAGCACCGTGAGCAGGTCAACAATGCGGGTACAGAGGAAGGTGGGAGGAGGGAGGCAAGGAGAAGGGAGAGTGGAGGAGTGTTTAAGACGTTGAAGAAAAGTCACCACTAAGCCACCACCACCTTATTATTATTATTAACATCTTTATTGACAAAATTAATTACAATTTTGCCTAATCTGAGGATTTTGATAGTCTTATTAAATTGAGGTTAATGCTAGTATTCACTGTCACGCAGGACAGAGGGTCATACATAAGACAATACACCACCTCGTGTATAGTGGAGAACGGCCTCTACACTCCTCCCACACCTGCAGCCTCTCCCTCCACCCCTGATGGTACACTCATCATAACTCGTCTGCTCCTCCAAGGTGATCACTCATGATGTAACGGTCATACACACTACAGTAGACATAAATGTTCATCAACATTAACAAGATAGACTGGGAGGATTCCGTTACCGGTGTAGGCAGTGGAGGCCACGAGACCACCACGCCCACCTGCGACGACCACGCCCACCTGCGACGACCACGCCCACCTGCGACCACCACGCCCACCTGCGACGACTACGCCCACCTGCGACGACCACGCCCACCTGCGACGACCACGCCCACCTGCGACGACCACGCCCACCTGCGACGACCACGCCCACCTGCGACCACCACGCCCACCTGCGACGACTACGCCCACCTGCGACGACCACGCCCACCTGCGACGACCACGCCCACCTGCGCTCACTAGTTCAAACCGCTACCCCCCCCCAGTGGTCGTTCAACACCTGGTTGATACCTGGTTGATGGGGTTCTGGGAGTTATTCTCCTCCCCAAGCCCGGGACGGGGCCAGGCTTGACTTGTGAGAGTCTGGTCCACCAGGCTGTTGCTTGGAGCCGCCTGCAGGCCCACATACCCACCACAGCCCGGCTGATCCGGAACTTCTTAGAAAACCGTCCAGTTTTCTCTTGAAAATGTCCACGGTTGTTCCGGCAATATTTCTGATGCTTGCTGGTAGGACGTTGAACAACCGCGGACCTCTGATGTTTATACAGTGTTCTCTGATTGTGCCTATGGCACTTCTGCTCTTCACTGGTTCAATCTTGCATTTTCTTCCATATCGTTCACTCCAGTACGTTGTTATTTTACTGTGTAGATTTGGGACCTGACCCTCCAGTATTTTCCATGTGTATATTATTTGGTATCTCTCTCGTCTCCTTTCTAGAGAGTACATTTGGAGAGCTTTGAGACGATCCCAATAATTTAGGTACTTTATCTCGTCTATGCGTGCCGTATATGTTCTCTGTATTCCCTCTATTTCAGCAATCTCTCCTGCTCTGAAGGGGGAAGTGAGTACTGAGCAGTACACTCCTGCTCAGTAGTGTAGATACGTCATCACTCAGTACCACTCACCCGGTGGCCTCACACCCACTCACCCGGTGGCCACACCCACTCACCCGGTAGCCACACCCACTCACCCGGTGAGGTTCTCTTCATCGCAGAAAGCTACTTCACTTGGACGCACTGATCTTCCTATAGCCAGAGTGAGACTCTGGGTAAACTGGGTACTCGCCTGGGGGTAAACTGGGTACTCGCCTGGGTGTAAACTGGGTACTCGCCTAGGTGTAAACTGGGTATTCGCCTGGGGGTAAACTGGGTACTCGCCTGGGGGTAAACTGGGTACTCGCCTGGGGGTAAACTGGGTACTCGCCTGGGTGTAAACTGGGTACTCGCCTGGGGGTAAACTGGGTACTCGCCTGGGTGTAAACTGGGTACTCGCCTAGGTGTAAACTGGGTATTCGCCTGGGGGTAAACTGGGTACTCGCCTGGGGGTAAACTGGGTACTCGCCTGGGGGTAAACTGGGTACTCGCCTGGGAGTAAACCAGATAACTTCGAGCAACTGGAGAAACATGTTAACTGGGATGCATTTGCATTAATTGGGCAACTCTTGGGGCTGAAGTCTGTGATGAACGTTACCAGACCTGTTCCCAGGAGGTCCTTCCCTAGTCCCTTAAGGATGTGCTCCACACCGCCAGTAACTTGAGACGTTGGTTGTATACTGTGAACAGCTCTCCACCAGCCAAATACTGGTAATACAGTTAACTACTGTGGTTAAGCTAGCGCGGTTAACTACTGGGGTTAAGCTAACGCGGTTAACTACTGTGGTTAAGCTAACGCGGTTAACTACTGTGGTTAAGCTAACGCGGTTAACTACTGGGGTTAAGCTAACGCGGTTAACTACTGGGGTTAAGCTAACGCGGTTAACTACTGTGGTTAAGCTAACGCGGTTAACTACTGTGGTTAAGCTAACGCGGTTAACTACTGTGGTTAAGCTAACGCGGTTAACTACTGTGGTTAAGCTTATGCGGTTAACTACTCGGGTTAAGCTAACGCGGTTAACTACTGTGGTTAAGCTAACGCGGTTAACTACTGTGGTTAAGCTAACGCGGTTAACTACTGGGGTTAAGCTAACGCGGTTAACTACTGTGGTTAAGCTAACGCGGTTAACTACTGTGGTTAAGCTAACGCGGTTAACTACTGTGGTTAAGCTAACGCGGTTAACTACTGTGGTTAAGCTAACGCGGTTAACTACTGCGGTTAAGCTAACGCGGTCAACTACTGTGGTTAAGCTAACGCGGTTAACTACTGTGGTTAAGCTAACGCGGTTAACTACTGTGGTTAAGCTAACGCGGTTAACTACTGTGGTTAAGCTAACGCGGTTAACTACTGTGGTTAAGCTAACGCGGTTAACTACTGCGGTTAAGCTAACGCGGTTAACTACTGTGGTTAAGCTAACGCGGTTAACTACTGTGGTTAAGCTAACGCGGTCAACTACTGCGGTTAAGGTATCACGGTTAACTGCCATGGTTATAGTATATACTTTAGTATATATGAGTTATACTAACTCCATACTATTCCGTGAAATGGGATTAATGCCTTTCATCTTATTCTTATGTTTTTCTCTCCCCTGCTCCTCACCTCTTATCTCACACTCTTTACCTTATTTATTTGCCTTTTCATTCCTATCTTCTTTACGGGTTATTCATGCCCGTGCCACTTCTTGGGTGGCTTAATCTTCATCAATCCTATCTTCTATTACACGACTTGATAATGGTCCAGGACGGATCGAAACGACGTCGTTTCACCATTTTCTGATGTGTGTGTTGAAATTGAAATTGAAATAAGTTTATTGAGGTAAAATACACACAAAGGAATGAGGTAGCTCAATCTATTCTCACCCCGTTCAGTACATCGTGTTAATACATACATAGACACACATCACAAACAATAAACATATTACCGAACATTATGAGAGATAAACATATACATTTCCTCCTTTACACAAGATTTGTGTGTGTTGGTCATCATATCTTCAGCCACGTGATTGTGACTCATCGCCTGCTACTATGTAAGTCTAGATCATGTCCCACTCGCTGTTTCTCCTTTCCCTAAGTGTCTTAGATTTAGATCCCTCTGTCTACCCCGGAAGCCCAATCCCCTACATTGCTTGGACCAGCCTTGTAGCCAATCTCTTCACTTTCTCAAGTCTGTATTTTGAGGTTACTGAGGTGGGGCTCCAAGCTGGTGCTGCATACATTAGCACTGATCACCTACAGATGTATTTTGGATAAGCAGTTCCTCCTGATAATTATCTTGATCAGACGCATGCTGTGTTATAAAGAAATCCATGTGTAAGTTACTACGGGATGCTGTGATGTTCACCAGGATGCTGTATGCTGTAAGGTAGGACTATATGGGCCAGTTCCTGCGGAGAGTATGTAGCCTTGTTATGTAGAGAGGGGTCTAGGACCTGAGCAAATCTTCAACATCATACGTCACTGCTGTTCTTAAGCAAACCAAACCCGACCCAACCTATCCTCTCCAAAATAAGAAATAAAATTTTGTGTGTGTATAATATTATATATATATATATATATGTATGTCAAATAACGGAGGTAGAATTGAAACAGGAAGTTCCTTAAGTACTTTCGTACATTAATACATCTTCAGAAGGAATGAATGAATATTCATTCATTCTGAAGATGTGTTAATATACGAAAGTACTTAAGGAAATTCCTGGTACAATTCTTCCTCCGTGGTCTGACATTGTCACATTTTTCATCATGTGTTAATTTCTTCGTGATGTACACATACATAATATAAAGTGTGTGACGTCACTAGGATATTATAAATTTATTCCAGCTCAGGTTGTGAGGTTGTAAGGTTGTGAGGGGGAGGTGTGAGTACTCACAGTGAGGGGAGGCGGGGGCGGGCAGCACCAGGAGCACCACCACCGCCAGCAGTAGCGTCATCTCCCGCCCGTCCTGCAATAACAAACTCTCCTTCATAATCCATGACATGTACAAATATATGATAAGTTATTATACAAAAGGAAGAAAGTATTAAGCAAATCTTCCGGGAGAATCTGCAAGGTCTTTCCCAAGTGCCTTGGAATCTCTCAGAGGTTATGGGTTATCTTGAGTGTCCCCGCGGCCCGGTCCTCGACCAGGCCTCATTTTTGTTACACATCCCCAGGAAGCAGCCCGTAGGAGCTGTCTAAATACCTATTTACTGCTAGGTGAACAGGGGCATCAGGGTGAAAGAAACTCTGCCCATTTATTTCCGCCTCCCCCGAAGATCGAACCCGGAACCTCAGGACTACGAATCCTGAGCGCTGTCCACTCAGCTGTCAGGCCCCTACAGCTGCACCCTATATGATACACACCCACGCGCGCACACATTTATATTAATATATATATTAATGAATATAATGCATAAAGAAATCACATTAACATAATATATTAATGAGAAAATCATTAAGACCCATACAGGAGGATCCGAACCTATGCTCTGGGAAGTCCCAAGCAAACTTCTTAAGACCCCTAAACCACGACATGGTCAAAAGCATAGCAACCTGGAATTGACGAAATACTTTAGGGCTCCTGATGCCTGCACTCAAGCCTAACCAGTGTCCTACCTTGACCTTGAGGTTACCTTGGTGTGATTCCGGGGCTCAGTGACCCCGCGGCCCGGTCGTCGACCAGGCCTCCTCGTTGCTGGACTGGTCAACCAGGCTGTTGGATGCGGCTGCTCGCAGTCTGACGTATGAGTCACAGCCTGGTTGATCAGGTATCCTTTGGAGATGTTTGTCAAGTTCTCTCTTGAACACTGTGAGGGGTCGGCCAGTTATGTCCCTTATGTGTAGTGGAAGCGTGTTGAACAGTCTCGGGCCTCTGATGTTGATAGAGTTCTCTCTCAGAGTACCTGTTGCACCTCTGCTTTTCAACGGGGCTATTCTGCACATCCTGCCATGCCTTCTGGTCTCATGTACTGTTATTTCTGTGTGCAGGTTTGGGACCAGCCCCTCTACTATTTTCCATGTGTAAATTATTATGTATCTCTCCCGCCTGCGCTCAGGAGAATACAGGTTTAGGCTCTTTAGTCGGTCCCAATAGTTTAGATGTTTTACTGAGTGGATTCTAGCAGTAAAGGATCTCTGCACGCTCTCCAGGTCAGCAATTTCTCCAGCTTTGAAAGGAGCTGTCATTGTGCAGCAGTACTCCACTCTAGAGAGCACAAGCGTCTTGAAAACTATTATTATTGGTACAGCATCTCTAGTGTGAAAGGTTCTTGTTATCCAACCTGTCATTTTTCTTGCAGTTGTGACGGCTACTTTATTGTGTTCTATAAATGTAAGGTCTTCCGACATGAGTACACCCAGATCCTTTACTTTGCCTTTCCGTTCAATGTTATGATTTGCCTGAGTTTTGTACGTGGTTTCTGCTTTTATATTTTCATTTTTTCCGTAGCCTATGAGCTGAAACTTGTCTTCATTAAACACCATGTTATTTTCTGTAGCCCAGAGAAAGACCTGATCTACATCTGATTGGAGGTTTGCCGTGTCCTCTATGTTGTCTAATCTCATAAAAATCCTAGTGTCATCTGCAAAGGATGATACAGTACTATAGGTTGTGTTCTTGTCTATGTCCGATATGAGGACGAGAAAAAGTACTGGAGCAAGCACAGTACCCTGGGGGACTGAGCTCTTCACGGTTGATGGTCCGGATTTTATTTTGTTGACTATTACACATTGGGTTCTATTAGTCAGGAAATTTTAGATCCATCTGCCTATTTTTCCGGTAATTCCTTTTGAACGCATTTTATGTGCAATAACACCATTTATCAAAAGCTTTTGCGAAATCTGTGTAAATTGCGTCAGCGTTTTGTTTGTCTTCCATAGCATCTAATGCCATATCATAGTGGTCCAGCAACTGCGACAGGCAAGAGCGCCCTGTTCTGAAACCATGTTGTCCGGGGTTATGGAGATGCTGTGATTCCATGTATTTTGTGATCTTACTTCTCAGCACTCAAAGATTTTTATGATGTGCGATGTTTGTGCTGTCAGTCTGTAATTTTTTACCTCTGCCTTATTTCCTCCTTTATGGAGCGGTGCTATCTCTGCTGTTTTTAATATGTCAGGGATAACGCCAGTATCTAGGCTTTGTCTCCACAGAATGTGAAGGGCCTGCGATAGCGATTTTTTACAGTTCTTGATGAATATAGGATTCCTGGTGCAGAGTGCATAGGCATACTGTCTATGGCTTCTTCGAAATCCAGTGGGGATAGGGTGACATCTGATATATGATTTGATGCTGGTATCATATCCATGAAAAATTCAGTTGGGTTATCAATCTTCAGTGTGTTCAGTGACTCGCTGAAAACAGAGTCGTACTGATTCTTCAGTATTTCGTTCATTTCTTTGTTGTCATCGGTGAAAGTTCCATCTCCCTTTCGCAGGGGCCCGATACTAGATGTGGATTTTGATCTTGATTTTGCATAGGAGAAAAAATATTTCGGATTTTTCTCTATTTCACTGATGGCCTTTTGGTCTCCTTGCCTCTCCTGGGTTTTGTATGATTCTTGTAGCTTGAGTTCAGTTGTTTCTATTTCTCTACCAAACCTTCTTCGCCGTTCTTGAGATAGGGTGCGACTCTCAAGTTGTTCCACGATTCGTTTTCTTCGCCTATAGAGGGAACGACGTTTCCGTTCCAATCTGCATCTCTTCCTCTTTTTTTTCTTAGGGTTATGCGGTTTGAACATATTTCTAGTGCTACTGAGCTTATTTTTTCCAGGCACTGATTCAGGTTTGCATTTTCTAGCTGTTCTTCCCAGTTTATTTCTGTGAAGTCCTGGTTTATTTGCTCCCAGTTTATCCGTTTATTATTGAAGTTGAATTTGCTGAAATCTCCTCCACCGGGAATCTGGACTGGTTTTGAAGGTTTATTCCCCATGGTTGTCAGAACTTCAGTTAAGTTGTGATCTGAGTAACAGGTATTTGTAATGTCACACAATGCCCCTATGCACTCTGGCTTGTATTCTAGGAACACCCTCTACTTGATACCCATTTGATGGAGTTCTGGAAGTTCTACTCCCCAAGCCCGGCCCGAGGCCAGGCTTGACTTGTGAGAGTTTGGTCCACCAGGCTGTTGCTTGGAGCTGCCAAGCATCTCTCTCATGCTTCTATTCATTGTACACCATCAACGAGACTGATTCCTATGTCACACTGTGTGCTGTGGCGTACAGCCTGGTCGACCAGACCGTCAACCAGGAGGCCTGGTCAGAGACAGGGCCGCGGTTGCATTGATCCTCGGACCCAACTTAAGGAAAGCCAACTTTGACGATTTCTAACTGAATTTAAGATTTTTCAAGACAATTTGCCAAAAACGTTTACCTGGGTTAGAAGGAGCGCCTAAACACCTGGGGCCATATTCACGAAGCAGTTACGCAAGCATTTACGAACCTGTACATCTTTCCTCAATCTTTGACGACTTTGGTTACATTTATAAAACAGTTTACAAGCATGAAAACTTGCCAATCAACTGTTGTTATTGTTATAAACAGCCTCCTGGTGCTTCGGAGCTCATTAACTGTTTAATAATTGTAAACAAAGCCACCATAAGATTGAGGTTATCAATCTTATGGCAGATATCAATCTTATGAGGATGTTCAGGTCCGTAAGTGCTTGCGTAACTGCTTCGTGAATCTGGCCCCAAGAGTTACTAGGAGCGCCCAAACACCCTCAACCTGTGGAGCGCGGTGCGCAGGCACCAAATATATTGTACATTATACACACCAGATTTTGAAAATACAAGATGGACCGGTTCCCAATCAGCGCCCCGTGCCGAGGACAGGGCGGCCAGGTTAGTGCAGGATGACGTGACCTTAAGGGAGGGAGGTGGGGAGGTGACCTATGGGGAGGGAGGTGGGGAGGAGACCTATGGGGAGGGAGGTGGGGAGGTGACCTATGGGGAGGGAGGTGGGGAGGTGACCTATGGGGAGGGAGGTGGGGAGGTGACCTATGGGGAGGGAGGTGGGGAGGTGACCTATGGGGAGGGAGGTGGGGAGGTGACCTACGGGGAGGGAGGTGGGGAGGTGACCTATGGGGAGGGAGGTGGGGAGGTGACCTACGGGGAGGGAGGTGGAGAGCCAGCCACCATCACCCCCCAGCTTCGGGGGATCAGCTTAACAACCCCAAAGAGCTACGAGATTGTCTATAACAATAGTAAACTTGGGTTGTAATGTTTCAAATCTCTTAAACTGTTTCATAAATTCAGATTAAGCCACCACAATCTAGGAAAGATGTACTGGTTTCGTAAATGGACACAAATGCTTGACGAGTCCTGACCCAGTTTAGTACATATTCACTGACCGTTTGGGGAATAGTTGAGAGGTGTGAGAATAAACAAATCCACAGGGGCCGTGATGAGGGTTCGAACCTACGTCCGGGATGATCCCAGACGCGCCTTAGTGTGAGGGAGGTGAGAGAATATCTTGGAGACCAGGGGGGGGGGTAGTAGCATAGTAGGGTTCAGGGGGTGTGGACGGGGGCGACGACCCCGTCGACTAATGATGGCTGCCTGGTGCTCAACTGTGGCGTCTTATCCTCCTAATGTAGTCACTACTAACTCCTGGGCTACTTACCCGCTCATTACTGTAATACATGTATCATGTTTGGTTGTAATATTTCCATTAGTCTTATACGCCTGTGTCTTATTTCCCATTTGAACATTGCTATAGTAGTTGTGTATATGTGTATATGAATGCTCACCAGACACATTCACATGAACGCATTCACACACCCACACCTAACTTGCCTAATGGACTTCACAGCATCAGCAGGTCAGACCTGGACCAAAACAGTATATAATAGCCAAGCTTAAATTTCATCAACAGGCTCATACCAAACTATTTAAATACCAGATTATGTTAAAACAAACCTGCTTGATACCTGCTAGATGGGGTTCTGGGAGTTCTTCTACTCCCC